GTCTGGGGTATGCGCTCCCGCGCAGGGCGGCGAAAAGCGGCGAGCACCTGTGGCTCTCACTTGACCGCTGTGTGCCTATTCTATGGCTCTGCCACCTACACTTACCTGCAACCCACATATAGTTACAACCAGGGTCGCGGCAAGTTCGTCTCGCTCTTCTATACGGTGGTCACACCCGCGCTCAATCCCCTCATCTACACACTGCGGAACAAGGAAGTGAAGGGAGCGGCACTGAGGTTCTTGAGGAGTCTGGGGAGGCGGCAGGTCGGACAGTGAGAGGACTAAGGAGAACACAGGGTCCGGGGATCTAGGATGACCATATTGTTAGTCTTTGCATGAAAATCTGCAATTTTGCCCTCGAGGAGTTCAGGGTTGGCAAGAGGGAGATCCCTTTCTCTCACTGGCTAGGATTTGGATTCTTGAGGGGAAATCCCGGAAATATCTAAACACACAACTATAGTGATGGGGTAAACGGCTCTTAAGACTTTCGACAGAAGGGAAGCATGATGAAGGAGGGGGACATCGTCACCCTCAGGAGACTTGGTAACCACTCCTGAAGAATCCACATGGAGATAAGACGATGGGCACCCTGGTGCTGACCTTTAGTTTTCCCCAAGTTTACAAAAGACCGTGAATAATTCCATGGTCTCAGCCATCAGGCAGAGTCCTTGTGCCCTACCTTACAGCAATAGCTTCCAGAAACAGGATGCAGTTTCTCTTCTTGGGGAGCCAGCCCAGCTAATACAGAACAAGCCAGGTGACCAGTGTCCACCACAGGGCATAAGACTACAAGGAAAATCTGCATGTATAGGCAGTTGTGCCAGGCCTGGTTAAGCTGGGAATCCCATCTGCAGGATATGGCTTTTGAACTAGTTTTAAAGAAGAGAAAGGACTAGAATTGGTGAAGATGAGAGAGCAGCCATGCATGTGGCCAGGAGTGAGACAGAGGAGCAAATAGAAAGAAAACGGAGAAAGCTATTTGATGGTGAAGGAAGTTCTATCAGTCAGAAGAACCCAGAAGTTAACCCCTTCCCTTCCTTACCCAGAGATGAACATTTTGTTAGGTGTTAGACACAGCAGATGGAGAAGGTACTAGATTTTATTTCATATCAAATATCTTTAAATAAGAAGAGGGGATGATAAGTAAATGAATTTCTAAATCATTTATTAGACTGTGATCCTATTGGGGCAAAAAAATCATAATACATTACTTCTCTGTAAGTAGACTCAATTTGGTTCAACAATTATTCAAGAATCCACCTGTCCCTGACTCCCCAGTCCTGGAATTAAAAGTGTATACTACCACACCTGACTAATATTTCAGTTTCCGCTCTCAGCAGCAATCCTGCCACTCAATGAAGTATGTCAGAAACAAGGAATCACGGACTTGACAAATGTTTTTAATCCACCCCCTCATCTCCAATTTTTATTTCATTGTCCTTAATTTTTGGAAATCATCAAAGGATGTGATTGGTAAAAGCTAAAAGGGGTGGGCTTTGATCCTCTTATCACCCCATCCACATAGTCAACCCCCAATGCAGTGCCCTGTCAGAAAGAGCAAACTGCCCCTCCTGATGTTGTAGTCAGCCATGGTCTTTCCATCTTCCAACCTCTTTCCATTGCAAGTCACAATCTGAGTCTTGGGGGTCACACCAGTCACACCCTCAATCATCTCTTTCACCTGGGCCACTGAGCTGGATCTTCGAACTGGGAGGAGGTGCCTTTGCCCTTCATTGGTTGACTCCACCAGAAACAAGTGCAGCTCTTCATCGCTGGGCTTCACCACCTTCAGCGTGAGGTGGATGGTTGTTTCCTTGTTAATGCCATAAGATGAGAGTGTTCTCTGGGGCTTGAGGGTCTTGGGGCCTAGCAGAAGGACCTGGTCCTGCACAGAAACCTTGGTTTTGGATCTGATATGTTCATTTATCTTCTTCACTTTGTCATTCTCAGTAGCGTCAAAGGTCATTGATGGCCATTTCTCAGAATGGACAATCTAAGAAAACAAAGGCAAGGAAGTCACCTAGAATGCCTGCCACCCTCTACACCCTACCCCTCACGTTCATTGTTCCATCTGCTTGGCCCTCCAGCTCCTACCCAACAATCTTATCTCTCCCTCTATTGAAACTTTTGTTTAATTGCCATATTATGACACAAATTAAAACATTAGTCTCATTCCTCTTGAGATATGTATATATACATATATATCCAATGTAATCACCAATTTCCTACCTTATTAATTTGCCTCTCCTAAGCCAGATATCAAAAGTAAAGACAATACAGGGCTTCAAAAGATGTATACAGATTCTTAAACAACTCCGAAGCAGATTTCCCAGATGTGGCAGCTTCAGAGGATACTCTCAGCCGTGCTTCATTCACCCTCTATGTCTAATTCAGAATGAACCCTGATTAAGTCATAATCTCCACACCGTTGCTTTCTTATTAACGTTCCCATCAATTTCTGTTAATGCCCAGGTTGTGGTGATGCTGTGCTTAATATTGTTTATATATTTTTTGTATTTTTTGTAACTATTGTTATAAAGCATAATATCCTCATTTAATTAAACCAGGATCCTAATCCTGAAGATAGGAACTATATCTAAGTTTAATTTCATTCGCTGCAGAATTCTGGAAGATGGGGGGAGAATCAGGCCTGCAAACCCTATGGAAACCTTCTCATACTCCATTAAAAAAAAACATCTTCCCAACCTAGATATTTCAGCTGTTCCTTCAGTGGAGGTGTCATCCTGTGTTGGGCACTGCCCTGATTGCAGGTTCTCTTCATGAGGACATAGTCTCACTTAAGGTAACATGTTAGATCACTGATAACTTAAATGAGATTAGGGGAATTTTCCTTTGAAAAGAGAAAAGCTTAAGGATGAGAACTCTGAAAATTATTTCTCTAATTTCACAGCTTGCCCATCCTGGTTGAAGCACAGTGCCCTGCCATTTCTCCCCAGTTTATCTGGCAAAATGGCTTATCTGATAAAATGTTCTTGCCACCAAGCCTCACCACCTGAGCTGATCCCTATGACCTAGGTGGTGGAGGGACAGAACTGACCCCAGCAGATTGTCTTCTGACCCTGCCCCTGCATGTGTGTGTACATACACAACAAATACAATAAGCCAAGTGACCAACCTCTCTCCAGAGTACCTCCTTTCTGTTGTGCAGTTATCAATGTCTGCCTTGCCTCTTAAACTGTGCCCACCCAACCACCTCCCCATCCAGGCACTGTACCCCCCTGAATTGTGGAACTGCATTCCCAAATGCATGGAAATACTTTCCCTTCAGACCCCAACTTACACAGATGCAGGAGGCCATGTCTGTAATGAAAGGCTGAGTGAGAAGAGAGTCCCGGAGTCTGCTTATATGTGAGTATCTGGGTTGGAAATCCCCAAGACCGTTGTGTTGTCCAGTTTAGAAACAACCTTTGTCCTCAAGAATTTCCTTTTGCTTTCTTTGGGGTGGAGTTAGTAATGGACACTCTTTGTACAAACTTCTTCCCTTAGTCTACTCCATCTGTACTCCTAGTTCTGAACATAGTATAGCCCTCCTATGATAAGGGCTTCCAAACCCACCTTATTACTGCCCAGCCATTGGCCTTGACTTTCACTGGCTTGATAATTCATGATACTTGGTAGCCCTCTCCAACTGCTTTTAAGAGCTCCAGACCTCTCTAGAAGCAAGGATACCCAGAGAGGACAGGTAGTATTGGTGCTGACCGACCAGACTATCAGGAACCTTTTCCCAATAACTGGGAAGAATGTATAAGACATTCGTATAAGACACAAGAGAAAATGACCCTGGACTTCAGAGTTATGTTATGGAAATATGCTCCCCTCTTTTAACACAGGTCTATAAAATTAGATAATTGTAGGCCATTCTTAATGTCTCCCCAGCTCAGAAAACCTTGCTTATAAAATGTTTATAAACACACACACACACACACACACACACACACACACACACACTTTGGATTCTCGGGTTTTGAACCTCTAATACATTTCCAACCCTGACTCAGGACCTGTAAATCAAACATATTACTTGAGAACAATCCAAAGCCAACAGTTAAATCCTGACTCCCACCTTTCTCCATATGTATACCACAGTTCCTGGATTTCCCCACTGTGATTCTTGGATACCTTCCTCCTCCTTGAGCTCAAAGGCACATGAAGGTGCTACTAGTTCCCTCACTCATGAGATTTGCTTAGATAAGACCAAGAATGTGAGTGAGCTGTGTGTCCTCAGGAAACTTACCCAATTACTCTAATACCAATAATATTCCTAATATTCCAAGCTTGTCACTGGCTTCTCAGGACATTCCATGGAACTAATTTTCAAAATTGTTTATTAAAAGTACTTTAGATATTTTCAAAGAATCCTGTAAAATTCCAAGTTATTATCTTTGTTTTCAGTATTTGCAGTGGCTATGTACAAATACCTTCACCTACTGAAATTTCTCTCACCCTCCTCAGTTCCTCCCCCATCCTCCTCACCTCCCTACCCATCCAACTTTATGGTCTTTCTCTATCTGTGTGTCTCTCAAACACACACACACACACACACACACACACACACACAAAAAAAAAAAAAAAAAAAAAAAAAACCCACAAAAATGAAAATCAAAACAAATAAGCAAAAGACCAATGAGACAGAAAATGCCAAAATAAAGCAAAATGAAACAAAAAGCCCACAAAAATACCAATGAGTTAGTCTGTATGTCAACTACTCCTGAATATGAGGCCTACTGTAAAGTATGGTTAATTTACCCAATGAGAGACTCCGTTGGAGAAAACTGATTTTTCCCTTTGCAATGCAGTATCAATTACAAACAGTTTCTTAGTTAGGGGTGGCACCATCCCTCCTTCTCCTACTGGAAGATCTTAAACAATTTCATTTTATTCTAGAAGGTCCCATTCTGAAGAACTTGGATTTACAGAGTACCTGGGTATAGTAAGACAATCTAAAAGCTTACTCAAATATTTTGAAATTCTAATGAAAAGTATATTGAAGCTCTTCTATTATTGATGTATTTGGTGGAGTAATATACTTTTTTAAACACAGGATTCACATGAAGGGAAGAATGCCTTGTAGAATATACTGAGTGCCGCTGGTTCTACTCTTCTCTCAGATCTCTCTCAAACTCCCAATTGTCCTCAAGGATTAAAATCCCAGTTTCTGACCACAACTGTTCAACAGGATCTTGGAATTCAGAAACATCATCAGTCTCCAGCAGAAAAATTCATCTCAGATTGAAGGTGAATGGGAAATAGCCTTGTAGGGGGATAGTGAGAAGGCCTGACAGAAGAGAAAGGCCAAGCTGCCAAGCTTGGTCTGCAAAGAGCTCCTTCACCTTTTAATTCCTTTCCGAAGTCACTACCTTCTTGTATATTTATTCAGAATTGTTTGGGCCAAGACTTGGGCTCTGAAGCCCTCACAACCTAGGCTTGGCCATTCATCCTCCATATGCCAATTAAATAAACAGTAATAGTGAAAAGCAGAGAATGGAGATTTATTCAGAGTGGTCATATTATCTTCTAAGTGTGACCACTTTGAATAAGGGACAAAGAGGTCCAATGACCCTCCAAGTCCATCTTCAACTCCCTGACATGAGGTGTAGGTGTTGAAGAATCTAGGCGAATTCATAACAAGTTGTCTTAACCAAGGTGTGGTCCTTGCCATAATCATTATTTAGGCTCTCATCTGTCCTACATGGTAGCCTGACAAGTTACCAGAACTATGTGAAATCTCCTTCCAGGAGACCAGCTCTCTACTCTGCCATCTGACTGGCATCAGGTTTCAGTCTTTTCCTTCTCCCAGCATGAGATTCCTGAGGAAATTCCAATTTGGGTGTTAGGGAGGCCTATTGCCTCAACAGTTTGACAGCTAAAGAGAGGAACATAAATATCTCTTTAGAACGTTTTTGTTCCTGCCCAAGCGTTTAAATATTCATGTTTCTCTAGGCAGGCAAGAGGGAGAGTAGATGGTAAAATGTTGCTTATAGCTACATACTCTTTTAACTTTATGTCCTTCCTTGTCAGTGACTGTCTGGGTGCCAGCATTTGCATAGTCACAGGTAGCAAGAGCTGCCTTGACCAAGAGCTGCCAGGAGAGTACAGTGCGAGTTTATCATTCTTAGCAATGATTTTTATTAGGAATGATTTTTGTTGTCTGATACTGCAGATCTGCAGGTCCATCTTCATCAACACATTTCCTTTATTTTCTTAAACACATGGAGCTCTGCCTTCCCCAGTCAGTAAGCATACCTTTCCCTCCAACATTACTCACAACACCATGAGTGTGTAAGAGCACAACACAGGCAGCATTGCCTCCAAGAGCCCCTACTCTTTCCCTCTGGTTCTGGGTTATTCTCCCATACTTCCTCCTAAATTCTTTTGAAGCCTTTTTCTGTAGCAATGGGATCACCTATCTGCTTGTCTATCATCCCCAGTGAGTCCTTGAAGACCATGATTGTGTTTTAGAACACTTGCATGCTCAGCTTGTTATCTGGCATAGAAAGATGCTTAATAAATATACAGTGTGTGAATAAATTAATAAACTAATAACAAAAAGTAATATTTAATGAGAATTTATATTTCAGAAACTGCATAAGATTATTAAGCATGACCTAATTTGATGTTTTCATGTTGTGGTGAAGAATTGGTATCTTTAGGGATAAACAAGACCAACCCACTAAAGTACTTAAAACCCATTTAAGTACTAGCTAGTCAGCAAGATTCTAGTGCACATCTTTGCTACGCTAGTCCTTGGCTTCTAGTCATATTATTGTTGCCTCCAAAGGAAGGAAAGAACAGAGAAAACACCCACTGCCGATGGGGGTTTCCAGACTGTGAAGGAGAAGCTATCTGGGGGATTTCCCACCAGAGAGGACTTAGGTTCTGAGAAAGAGTGCCTTTTCAAGTAATATAAACAATAAGTCTGGACTCTGATCCTTTCTCTTTTTCTTCCTGTCCCCATCCTGCTCCACCACTTTC